AAAAAAAAAAAAAAAAAAAAAAAAAAAAAAAAAGGCAGAAAAAAAAGCTCTTTCAATAGCCCTGAAATAGTCTAAGGTTATTCACCTCCAAATACTACTCTATTTTTGGAGTGACTCTTCCTATATATAACCAGTGACCCCACTGTCCTCTACCATGTGTTTTTGTTATTGCTCTTTCTATTGACTGTTGCAGCCTGTGTGCAAAGGTAGGTCACCCACCCAGTCTGCCAGTGGGATTTTGGCAATCTGAAGCCTCAATTATATCCAACATGTCAGGTGAGGCCACAGTGCTTTGAAAGTTAAAATGAACTAATTTTAGATTGCACAAAACCTATCTAGAGTCTACAGAACCTCAGGGTTTCAGGAGAGCAGAAGCAGAAGGAAAAATTTCTTTTCTGGGAAAAAAAATAGCAAGCAAGTGTAAGAGCTGGTTTCTATTATTATCCAGTTTTAAGCTGACCCATTAAGATAGCCACATGAGTTAAAATCACAAAGCAAATCAGTAATCAATATATTAACATATTGTCTAACTTTAATCATTACTACTGAGTTACTTTGCTAAATGGCACAGCCAAAATGTAATACCATCAAAAATATACACTCCCCTCTAAATGAATGATACTCACGCACATGAGCAGAAATGGAGGCTGAAGCAATCCTCCCATTTGCCCCAGCTCTCTCTCTCCTGCTTTACTGTTTTTACTACTTTTTTTCCTGAGCAAGATTTAATCCAGCTCATTTTTCAGTGGCATGTGCCAAGCCATGTAAATACTTGCACTGAAGGAAGGATCAGTTACCAGTACCACAGGACTGATTCAAGCTGCCAAAACTGAGGGGAAGAGCAGACTTCTGCTTTGGGGGCAGGAAATTGGCTGAAGTTATTCTGCAGCCCAGGAAAGCTGTGGTGCATGACTTTCCTCTCCCCATTTTCCATTTCTGTGGTCTACACAGGAGTATGAAAGATGAGTGAGATGGGAGTCAGTCTCTTATCCCAAGTAACAAGCAACAAGAGAGGAGGAAATAGCCTAAAGTTGTACCTTGAAATTTAGTTAGGGAAGGTTTAGATTGGACACTAGGAAAAATTTCATCACTGAAAGTGTAGTCAAGCATTGGAACAAGTTGCCCTGGGAAGTGGTAGAGTCAACTGCTCCACAAGGTATTCAAAGAATGTGTAAATGTGGTGCTTAGAGAGATGGTTTAGTAGTGGACTTGGCACCACTGGGTTAATGGTTGGACTCAATTATCTTTTCCAACTTTAAAGATTCTATGATTCTGTAAGTGCCACTGTACCTTTCTCTGCTCTTACAAAAGGTATCTACACTCATATGGAAAACAATCAATGAAAAAATAGTGAAGTCAATTAAGTAAATGTGTTTCTTTGGCTTAAATAAACTATTGTTGAAACCTAGTGTTCTATATTTGATCAGAACAATAAAATACTCAGGTTTAAATTGTAAAATGTTTTGATAAACAGAAAATGCACGCAATTGCATCCTTGAGACCCATAAGCATTTGCAGACATAATTTGCTCCATGCATTTTATAAATACCATGAAAGAGAAACATCTACGTGTAAAGCTTCTGTTATCAAGAAATCTTGGGATTCCTACATTTTTTCCACTTCTGAATGCATTTTTGATAGCTAGAAAAAGAAACTAAAGCAGCCTATACCAGCACTGAATTTTAAACAAGAGTAGAACAGAGGCTATGAAGGCTCCACAGGTAGTATCTGCTGCCAAACTAGTGAAATCGCAGCCATTCAGTTGATACTCTAAATGAAGTTCTATTAAAGTGTAATGGACAACACTTGGTAAAATAATAAAATAGTAAATCCACTTCCAGCACTCTTATATGCCCTTTTTCTCTCCATTTGTCCTCCTTATTTAGATGTTGTTCTTCCCCCCAAATCTGCTCTGCATCTAAGGCTATCACCATTTCCCACAATCATCACCTGTGGAGATTTTCATTCAAGAAAATTCCCATTCAGTGAACTGGTAACTAGAAGAAGGAGCAACAGAACCACTCACAAAATTTCTGCCATGCTGTCATATATGCTGTGGATTCAGTAATTCACTCGTGATGGTTATTTCATTATTTTTTGCTGGTGGAAAGCAAGGCTATATGGTTCTGACCATATTCAACTTACTGAGGTCATTAAATGCAGGGATTTTGATTTTAGTTTGTATTTTGGCAGCTATCAGAAATTGGGAGCTTAAATTTACACAATGAATAAAATATACGGCCTTCCTGACAGGGCCCAAATGGAATGTTATTAAAGAAAAAGTCCAGTCTATTGTATTTACAGCCAAATTAATTGCCATCAGCACCCAGCAGACCTGGACTCTGCACTGGTCTAACTTTTCCTTTGTCTGGTAATAACAAACAGTAAGGAAAATTCTAGTAAACATGTAGAACATAGAGATGGCACCCATCAATTAAGTCTCTAATTAAAAAATAGTTGATATTTGTTCTACAAATAAACAGATGCATTCATCATTATTACTGTCTCACTGATCAAGCTGGAAATTCATGAAGTAATTCATGAGATGGGGAGAAAGCCATCAGAATAATTTTAATACATCAGTGTAGTACATAAAGTCTGGTTTACTGAGCAACCATATTTCCTGAACATGAAAAAAAATGTTAGCTGTGCAAGAATTATTCCCTGGCATCGTTCCATTCACCTTAAGAATAGAATATTTCTCTCCATTGCTATGCTCATTTGGAAGCATGGTTATTTAAAAGGATGATGTTGGTATTTTTAAAAAAATGCCCAGATCCAGGAAAACAATTATTTGGAGAAAAAGTTTGAAACTCATTAGACTTGTATCTTCCTAGAAAATGACCTTTAGTCCCTGTCCCACAAAAGACCCGAGAAATAAGAAGTTAAGTAGTTATGCTTCCTTCCTTATCCCTCTTATCCCCTCCATTTACCATTGTGGCATAAAATGTGGCTTTATCTTCCATTTAATTTCTTTACTATTGGGGCAAAATAATTTGTACATAATGATGACAGAAAGTTTTTAGAATTAGTAGAGAGAATTCACCTTGAAAAAACTGAAATGGGAAATGATATATAAGAGAATCAACACTTTCAGAATGCTAATGGTGAGGTTTCACAGAATAGAAATACGACAGTGCTGAAGGAAATGAGGTGAAGTTGGCATTCAGTTAATTTGAAGAAGATTATGTCACAAAAGCCAGAGGTGAATTTTATTCCATAATCATCTTCAATACATTTAACAGGTTGACAACAGGCATGTGAAATAATATATACGCTGTCTTTAAATGCAATAATCCTTAAAGGTTTCAAATGAGACACACACTGCAGACAAAATCTTCTGCAGTAGTGCCCATTCAATATATAGTAGAAATTTAAAAATAACTCAATAATCTTAATGTTAGTGGGAATTTTCAGAAGACTACAATTATTTTAACTACTTCAAGCATCCAGATTCTGTTACTCCCTCCATGCTGAACAGCATCGTGCCCTTTGAGGAATACAGCCATACTCCCAACCAGGATCCAGGCAGCAAATCTCACCCAGAATGAATCACAGACTGTTTTCTATGATTTGGGTAATGCAGTTTTAGGAGGAGAGCTCCCTGGCTGCAAGGCTCCTTTGTTCAGGGGTGCAACAGTGATGTGCCAAGGAGGGCTGCCCACATGGCTCCGTGCCTTGGGTGAAACAGCCTAGCTCACCT